ATCCAGGTCATTAGATATCAAAACAGGTTCATCCCCAAAACCACCTGCTTGTATCAATAGTAATTCATGTGAATCATGTGCTTTGTAATACATTGTATTCACCAAAATAGAATATATTTAGCTTTTGTATAATATTGATTGTAATAATTTTATCTTATAAATAAAGTTATATATTTATCTTTTGTTTCAAATTAAAAATGTCTAAACGAAAAGATAATTCTGAATTATTTTTAAAAGAAATCCCCGAATTTACTGATGAACATAGAACTAAACGTATAAATAATAGACATAAACAACATGGATTTGTATCCGTGTTCTTATATAATAAGCGTATGAATAAGTTTATATTTGAATCACATGGACAGAACAATCACAGTACAAGTCTCAAGTCTCTCCTATTGGAGGAAAGCGAGAAATGTATTTTGAGATTCTGAAGAAAACGATGAATGAATTAGAAACAGCTAATGAAATCTGCTTAAAGATAAGCAGAAAGGATATCGAGAAAGTATTTGATGCTCCAGATGGATTTGATATTGAACATGTTGTTAAGTTAGAGAAATAGGATACAATTTCCAGAGATGATTTATTTATCTGTGATAAACAATATGAAATGATGTACAGACAAGAAGACATATTATTCACAATGATAAGAGAGGTTTTTGAGGAAACGGGATTAGATATTAAAAGGGTTTCATGTAAGATCAAATACTTTGGATTTGATAAGAAGATTCTTGAAATAGATGGGATAGTTACCCATGTATTTCTAGTTATCTTCGATAGTTATGATTTCATTCCATATTCAAAAAAAAAGAAAAAAGGCAATGAAGTGATTGCTATGAATTCATATGATATTTTAAAGAAGTTAAATGATGACAAGGGCAAAGAAATAAAACATTTCACTTCAACAATTGAGAATATATTCGAAGAAGTAAACAGTTATTGTAAACCGATCAGGAATGAGATAATCTTATTCGGTGGGCCAAATTCTGGGTTATCAGAAGGTGTCAAGGTGTGCAATGCCTTTTTCAAGAGTATCGATCTCGAGGTATCCAGTACATTAACACTCCCAGAATCTTATCGTAATTAAAAGGGTTTAGGACCAGACCATCTCTCAATAAGAGATTTATACCCTGAGCATTATCATGCTAGAGATGAGCCAAGAGAAACCCAACAGATGCGGATCTTGATGGCTTATAATTCTATTGGTAAACTTTTACGTGGTGAAACCAAATCAGATGTTGGTAACGAACCAATAGTAATTTATGAAAGGAGTCTAGGATGTGTGAATATTTTCAACCGAGCATATCGTATACCCACATTTCCATTAAATGATTTGCATAAACTACATGATTCAAATCAACTTGATATACATATATCTCCTGAAGATAATGAGTATGCATTCACAATAGCTAACGATCGCAGATCATATTTCTCTGACACACAGAAAGCCTACAAACAAACGTATGAGTTATACGAAATGTTCTCACATCTCGAATATCCTAATAAGATAATTGTAAAAAATGACCTTAGTAGGAAATCACCAAACTTTTTTACTAATGAATTAGTATTGGCCATTGAAAATCACAAGATATTCAACCGATTGGTCGAATATGCCAAAAATTACAAGAAAATTTATCATGTGGAGAATAAAATTATTATTTTATAGATATTATATTTATTTTCTAAAATATGATTTTATTATAAACTAAACCTATAAATAAATATATTTATTATTAAATAAATTATTTACAATGTTTCTAATATTAAATCTATCAAGAACTGATATAGTTTTACAAATAACTAAA